ATGCTTGAGTGAAAAAGGTGCTACATCTTACCAATATCTTCGATCTTGATTTTGTTATATAAACATTTTCTAGATTGTTCTTGCAATGGTATTATTTACCTCTGGCTTTAAATAAGATAATATCGCATGGTGTTTAGAGTGTCTACAAAACATTTTTCATAATTAAATGTAAAGTGCTCGCAAGATGATTTTTTTTTCCAAAAGGAGAAGGGTGTCATGAAGAAAAGAAATCAATTCTGCATACATGCGTACCTTTGTTTGCCTTTAGGCTATGGATGTGTATTGGTCATGTTGATTGCTATAGACTCTGCTTCCCGTTTAAATATCTCAATCAATTTCCCATGCTATTATGTCGGTTTTCATGAAGTATTTGCACTTACTTAATTTGAAGTGTATTGTTATGTACATATATATAATGTACATGTGTATAATGCCCTGTAACTTAAGTGGTTTGTACAACAGTGACATGTGTCAAGCTGAGTGTACTTACAATTATATGTGGAAAGCGAAGACAGTTTCTTTTAACTTTCCATTTTGATCTAGGAGACATTATGTTAAAAACTTGAACAATTTCATCATTTTGAAAACCCCTTTCAAACTTAAGCTCAAATTTTAGCGGGCCAATTAAGGCCAAACAAAATATATTTCATGTTTCCGGTAACCCTATATCTACCATAATTTTTTGTGCCTACCCCAAACTTTTGAAGGCAAGTTTGAAAGAAGCACTGTCAGGATCAGAAGACTCTCCTATATGAACCATATAGAATTACTTGTTAAAATAAAATTTGTTACCCACCTACTTACCCTAGATTTTTCCAACATGTTACAGGAAGTACAAATATTTTTTGTCTGGCCTTAGTTATGTTATTAATCCCCCAACGGTTCCCGGGGGGGTTGGGATTCTAGGTTTGTTCTCCTTCGGTCCTTCTGTCCTTCTGCCTTCCGACCGAGAAGTTTGTCCAGGACACATCTTCTATGCTATTTCATCGGGAGTAACCAGATTAGGTGTTCAACAACATGGCAGAGTGCAGAGAGCAAGAATTAGGTCACTTTGACCTATGACTTGACCTTTGAACTTCACTTTTGAAAATGTTTGTCCGGGTCATATCTTCAGTTCTATTTTACCTGGAAAAACCATATTTTTGTATACAAGGACATCTTTGGATGACAGAGTGTATATAAGTTTTGCTATGACTTATATATATTCCAGGGGTTCAGAGAGCGAAAGTGAGCGTAGCCCCTGGAGTATCGAGGATGCGCTCTTTGGATGGCAGAGTGTTGTGTACCGATATTGGGTTATGGGTACTTCATCATTCTCATGTACACACTGCCACAATTGCACAATAATGTGATATTAGGATGGTAGAGTGTCACATTGATCTGAAAGTCCCATTATATATACAGAGTTATAGCCCTTTGTATACTGTTTTTCTTTGACATGTTTAACACATATTTATTCTGCCATCAACAATTGACTGATTTTATACATGTTAGTCTTTTGGAATGGCCTAGTTTGTCTGAAGTTGGGGCAACTATGGATTGAGAAGCAAAATTATTCCAGGAGTTTTTAACTGTACAAAACATTTAAATAGCTTAGAAAACTAGAGTTGTAGCACCATACATATTCAGTATTTTCATACATGTAAGTGTCAACCTCTTAAACCTTCAATGAGGGAGATTTACATATAAAACCTCATTCCACATTTCCAATGAGGGAGAATGTGCATGCATTGTGACTAAAATTAACTGCTTTGCTCAATTAATCTTTCCCTTTTCCTGCATCAAAATAATTTCAAAAAGCATTCATTTGATTCAGACATACCCATATGATCATTACATCCACTCTGATTCAGACACACCCATATGATCATTACATCCACTCTGATTCAGACACACCCATATGATCATTACATCCACTCTGATTCAGACACACCCATATGATCATTACATCCACCCTGATTCAAACATGACCATATGATCATTACATCCACCCTGATTCGGACACACCCATATGATCATTACATCCACCCTGATTCAGACAAACCCATATGATCATTATATCCACACTGATTCAGACACACCCATATGCTCATTTCATCCACACTAATTGACACACCCATATGATCATTACATCCACCCTAATTGACACACCCATATGATTATTACATCCACCCTGATTCAGACACCCCATATGATCATTACATCCACACTGATTCAGACACACCCATATGATCATTACATCCACTCCCTGTTTCAGACACACCCATAGGATCATGACATCCACTCTGATTCAGACACACCCATAAGATCATAACATCCACTCTGATTCAGACACACCCATATGATCATTACATCTACCCTGTTTCAGACACACCCATAGGATCATTACATCCACTCTGATTCAGACACACCCATATGATCATTACATCCACCCTGTTTCAGACACACCCATAGGATCATAACATCCACTCTGATTCAGACACACCCATATGATTATTACATCCACCCTGATTCAGACACACCCATATGATCATTACATCTACCCTGTTTCAGACACACCCATAGGATCATGACATCCACTCTGATTCAGACACACCCATATGATCATAACATCCACCCTGATTCAGACCCACCCATATGATCATTTCATCCACCCTGATTCAGACACACCCATATGATCATTACATCCACCCTGATTCAGACACACCCATAGGATCATTACATCCACCCTGATTCAGACACACCCAAATGATCATTCCATCCACTCTGATTCAGACACACCCAAATGAGCATTACATCCACTCTGATTCAGACACACCCATATGATCATTCCATCCACTCTGATTCAGACACACCCATATGATCATTACATCCACTCTGATTCAGACACACCCATATGATCCTTACATCCACCCTGATTCAGACACACCCATATAATCATTTCATCCACTCTGATTAAGACACACCCATATGATCATTACATCCACTCTGATTCAGACACACCCATATGATCATTACATCCACACTGATTTAGACACACCCATATGATCATAACATCCGCTCTGATTCAGACACACCCATATGATTATTACATCCACCCTGATTCAGACACACCCAAATGATCAAATACATCCACCCTGATTCAGACACACCCATATGATGATCCTTACATCCACCCTGATTCAGACACACCCAAATGATCATTACATCCACTCTGATTCACGACACACCCATATGATCATTATATCCACACTGATTCAGACACACCCATATGATCATTATATCCACTCTGATTCAGACACACCCATATGATCAATATATCCACTCCGACTCAGACACACCCATATCATCATTCCATCCACCCTGATTCAGACACACCCATATGATGATCCTTACATCCACCCTGATTCAGACACACCCAAATGATCATTCCATCCACTCTGATTCAGACACACCCAAATGATCTTTACATCCACTCTGATTCACGACACACCCATATAATCATTACATCCACACTGATTCAGACACACCCATATGATCATAACATCCGCTCTGATTCAGACACACCCATATGATTATAACATCCACCCTGATTTAGACACCCCCATATGATCATTACATCCACACTGATTCAGACACACCCATATGATAATTACATCCAATCTGATTCAGACACACCCAAATGATCATTACATCCACTGTGATTCAGACACACCCATATGATCATTACATCCACACTGATTCAGACACACCCATATGATCATTACGTCAACTCTGATTCAGACACACCCATATGATCATTACATCCACCCTGATTCAGACACACCTATATGATCATTTCATCCACTCTGATTCAGACACACCAATATGATCATTACATCCACTCTGATTCAGACACACCCAAATGCTCATTACATCCACTCTGATTCAGACACACCCATATGATCATTACATCCGCCCTGATTCAGACACACCCATATGATCATTACATCCACTCTGATTCAGACACCCCCAAATGATCATTACATCCACTCTGATTCAGACACACCCATATGATCATTACATCCACTCTGATTCAGACACACCCATATGATCATTACATCCACTCTGATTCAGACACACCAAAATGATCATTTCATCCACTCTGATTCAGACACACCCATATGATCATTACATCCACTCTGATTCAGACACACCCATATGATCATTACATCCACTCTGATTCAGACACACCCATATGATCAATATATCCACTCCGATTCAGACACACCCATATGATCATTCCATCCACCCTGATTCAGACACACCCATATGATCATTACATCCACCCTGATTCAGACACACCAAAATGATCATTTTATCCACTCTGATTCAGACACCCCCATATGATCATTACATCCACTCTGATTCAGACACACCCATATGATCATTACATCCATTCTGATCCAGACACACCCATATGATCATTATATCCACTCTGATTCAGACACACCGGTATGATCATTACATCCACCCTGATTCAGACACACCCATATGATCATTACATCCACTCTGCAGTAATTATATAACTAGGAGATAATATGACCACACGATGTAGATTTTAAGTTTGTGTGAGTTTTGACTTGAATGAGGGAGATTAGTTAAGTTTGGTCAAATTGAGGGAGTCTCCCTTCCAATGAGGGTTGACAGTTATGTAATCTATTTCTGGTCACAGATAATCATGATGAATATTAGCCTAACCTTAATCTTTTACTGTACTTCTCGATACTGAAAAAAAGGTGTGAAAAAGGAAAGATTATAACAGTCTGACAGGTACAGCTTATACACACTGAACAGAATCCACAGTAAGACACGCAGATACAAATTTAAGTGCCAGTGTTAGGGACAAATTTTATTTTCCAATCAATTATGCAAACAGATTTTAGAACTGAGTGTAACAAAACACGACGTTTCATTATTTACTAAATTAAACCTCACCTATTATTGTGTGTTTTCTATAGGTTGCAGACCTGTGTACGTATGGCCTGGAAATAAATTTGAGATCACCTGTGTAACAGTATCACAAGACTATTACACAAACCACCCATGGTTTACGAGCTCTTCAGTGCTGGAGGTAGACATATCATAAAAGGTAATACAAATATTTTATAACACTTTCCAAAAAAGCTTTCTACATGTTTATCCTAATACTGTTTATAATTTTTTTTCATCAATGCATACTTTTTATATATTTTACTTCAAGCACCAAATTAAGAATATGTTGTTGATTTCATATGTACACCACATGTATGTGTCTTCACCGATTTAGAATATTTGTAAAAGTATATTTTACCACATGTGCTTTATATATCAGTGCAATGTTACAAACAGTGGTTCCCACTAAAGGGAACAGTACAGTATACCCCAACATACAATTGTACCACCACCTTCTGTTAAAGGGCATTGTGGCCATACCACAAGTTGTCTCTGTTAACCCTTTCACCACTGTAGACCATAATGGATTCATCCAGATCAATATATGAGAGAGTCTATTAAAGTTGCAAAGGGGTGAAAGGGTTAAAGGACAGGTGGATGAATGCTTGTTATCTCCCGCTCCACGAGTTGGGAGGGGATATAGAAATGGGACTGACAGTCCATCCATGCACCTGGTTAAAAAAGAATTGCTCTCATCTACATCTTGCCTTCCACAATTACTATGTTGATTATACTTGCATCAATTGTGTATCTTCAGGTTTGCTCTGCTGAATGCATGTTGCAGATGCTGATTTTGACCTGTATTTTACGCTTTATTGACTTGGTTAAGAAGAATTGCTCTTACATACTTCATGAAAGGTTAAGAAGAATTGCTCTCATCTATATCTTGCCTACTGCAAGTGCTATGTTGATTATACTTGCATCTATTGTGCATCTAGGGTTGTAGGCTCTACTGAATGTATGTTGTGGATCCTGATTTTGACCTATACTTTACGCTATATTACACATCTATAATGTGAGGTAATTTATTTGACATTACACAGTTATGTTAAATAAGGTAGTTAATTTTGACCTATACTTTACGCTATATTACACATCTATAATGTGAGGTAATTTATTTGACATTACACAGTTATGTTAAATAAGGTAGTTAATTTTGACCTATACTTTACGCTATATTACACATCTATAATGTGAGGTAATTTATTTGACATTACACAGTTATGTTAAATAAGGTAGTTAATTTTGACCTATACTTTACGCTATATTACACATCTATAATGTGAGGTAATTTATTTGACATTACACAGTTATGTTAAATAAGGTAGTTAATTTTGACCTATACTTTACGCTATATTACACATCTATAATGTGAGGTAATTTATTTGACATTACACAGTTATGTTAAATAAGGTAGTTAATTTTGACCTATACTTTACGCTATATTACACATCTATAATGTGAGGTAATTTATTTGACATTACACAGTTATGTTAAATAAGGTAGTTAATTTTGACCTATACTTTACGCTATATTACACATCTATAATGTGAGGTAATTTATTTGACATTACACAGTTATGTTAAATAAGGTAGTTAATTTTGACCTATACTTTACGCTATATTACACATCTATAATGTGAGGTAATTTATTTGACATTACACAGTTATGTTAAATAAGGTAGTTAATTTTGACCTATACTTTACGCTATATTACACATCTATAATGTGAGGTAATTTATTTGACATTACACAGTTATGTTAAATAAGGTAGTTAATTTTGACCTATACTTTACGCTATATTACACATCTATAATGTGAGGTAATTTATTTGACATTACACAGTTATGTTAAATAAGGTAGTTAATTTTGACCTATACTTTACGCTATATTACACATCTATAATGTGAGGTAATTTATTTGACATTACACAGTTATGTTAAATAAGGTAGTTAATTTTGACCTATACTTTACGCTATATTACACATCTATAATGTGAGGTAATTTATTTGACATTACACAGTTATGTTAAATAAGGTAGTTAATTTTGACCTATACTTTACGCTATATTACACATCTATAATGTGAGGTAATTTATTTGACATTACACAGTTATGTTAAATAAGGTAGTTAATTTTGACCTATACTTTACGCTATATTACACATCTATAATGTGAGGTAATTTATTTGACATTACACAGTTATGTTAAATAAGGTAGTTAATTTTGACCTATACTTTACGCTATATTACACATCTATAATGTGAGGTAATTTATTTGACATTACACAGTTATGTTAAATAAGGTAGTTAATTTTGACCTATACTTTACGCTATATTACACATCTATAATGTGAGGTAATTTATTTGACATTACACAGTTATGTTAAATAAGGTAGTTAATTTTGACCTATACTTTACGCTATATTACACATCTATAATGTGAGGTAATTTATTTGACATTACACAGTTATGTTAAATAAGGTAGTTAATTTTGACCTATACTTTACGCTATATTACACATCTATAATGTGAGGTAATTTATTTGACATTACACAGTTATGTTAAATAAGGTAGTTAATTTTGACCTATACTTTACGCTATATTACACATCTATAATGTGAGGTAATTTATTTGACATTACACAGTTATGTTAAATAAGGTAGTTAATTTTGACCTATACTTTACGCTATATTACACATCTATAATGTGAGGTAATTTATTTGACATTACACAGTTATGTTAAATAAGGTAGTTAATTTTGACCTATACTTTACGCTATATTACACATCTATAATGTGAGGTAATTTATTTGACATTACACAGTTATGTTAAATAAGGTAGTTAATTTTGACCTATACTTTACGCTATATTACACATCTATAATGTGAGGTAATTTATTTGACATTACACAGTTATGTTAAATAAGGTAGTTAATTTTGACCTATACTTTACGCTATATTACACATCTATAATGTGAGGTAATTTATTTGACATTACACAGTTATGTTAAATAAGGTAGTTAATTTTGACCTATACTTTACGCTATATTACACATCTATAATGTGAGGTAATTTATTTGACATTACACAGTTATGTTAAATAAGGTAGTTAATTTTGACCTATACTTTACGCTATATTACACATCTATAATGTGAGGTAATTTATTTGACATTACACAGTTATGTTAAATAAGGTAGTTAATTTTGACCTATACTTTACGCTATATTACACATCTATAATGTGAGGTAATTTATTTGACATTACACAGTTATGTTAAATAAGGTAGTTAATTTTGACCTATACTTTACGCTATATTACACATCTATAATGTGAGGTAATTTATTTGACATTACACAGTTATGTTAAATAAGGTAGTTAATTTTGACCTATACTTTACGCTATATTACACATCTATAATGTGAGGTAATTTATTTGACATTACACAGTTATGTTAAATAAGGTAGTTAATTTTGACCTATACTTTACGCTATATTACACATCTATAATGTGAGGTAATTTATTTGACATTACACAGTTATGTTAAATAAGGTAGTTAATTTTGACCTATACTTTACGCTATATTACACATCTATAATGTGAGGTAATTTATTTGACATTACACAGTTATGTTAAATAAGGTAGTTAATTTTGACCTATACTTTACGCTATATTACACATCTATAATGTGAGGTAATTTATTTGACATTACACAGTTATGTTAAATAAGGTAGTTAATTTTGACCTATACTTTACGCTATATTACACATCTATAATGTGAGGTAATTTATTTGACATTACACAGTTATGTTAAATAAGGTAGTTAATTTTGACCTATACTTTACGCTATATTACACATCTATAATGTGAGGTAATTTATTTGACATTACACAGTTATGTTAAATAAGGTAGTTAATTTTGACCTATACTTTACGCTATATTACACATCTATAATGTGAGGTAATTTATTTGACATTACACAGTTATGTTAAATAAGGTAGTTAATTTTGACCTATACTTTACGCTATATTACACATCTATAATGTGAGGTAATTTATTTGACATTACACAGTTATGTTAAATAAGGTAGTTAATTTTGACCTATACTTTACGCTATATTACACATCTATAATGTGAGGTAATTTATTTGACATTACACAGTTATGTTAAATAAGGTAGTTAATTTTGACCTATACTTTACGCTATATTACACATCTATAATGTGAGGTAATTTATTTGACATTACACAGTTATGTTAAATAAGGTAGTTAATTTTGACCTATACTTTACGCTATATTACACATCTATAATGTGAGGTAATTTATTTGACATTACACAGTTATGTTAAATAAGGTAGTTAATTTTGACCTATACTTTACGCTATATTACACATCTATAATGTGAGGTAATTTATTTGACATTACACAGTTATGTTAAATAAGGTAGTTAATTTTGACCTATACTTTACGCTATATTACACATCTATAATGTGAGGTAATTTATTTGACATTACACAGTTATGTTAAATAAGGTAGTTAATTTTGACCTATACTTTACGCTATATTACACATCTATAATGTGAGGTAATTTATTTGACATTACACAGTTATGTTAAATAAGGTAGTTAATTTTGACCTATACTTTACGCTATATTACACATCTATAATGTGAGGTAATTTATTTGACATTACACAGTTATGTTAAATAAGGTAGTTAATTTTGACCTATACTTTACGCTATATTACACATCTATAATGTGAGGTAATTTATTTGACATTACACAGTTATGTTAAATAAGGTAGTTAATTTTGACCTATACTTTACGCTATATTACACATCTATAATGTGAGGTAATTTATTTGACATTACACAGTTATGTTAAATAAGGTAGTTAATTTTGACCTATACTTTACGCTATATTACACATCTATAATGTGAGGTAATTTATTTGACATTACACAGTTATGTTAAATAAGGTAGTTAATTTTGACCTATACTTTACGCTATATTACACATCTATAATGTGAGGTAATTTATTTGACATTACACAGTTATGTTAAATAAGGTAGTTAATTTTGACCTATACTTTACGCTATATTACACATCTATAATGTGAGGTAATTTATTTGACATTACACAGTTATGTTAAATAAGGTAGTT